ACATAACCTTCCAGTTTTATGTCTTAGAAACTCAGTTATGACACTCACGGCACCCACTGTATGATAAAAACTACACAATAAAATCCCTGAAATAAACAAGAAGAAGCATACCTTCAAGTTTAATAAATTGATTTATTTTCTTTATAAAGAAGCAGTACACCGGAATAATATAACCAAAATCATTATTAACTGTGTATTTTATGTTGAAACTACTAGTTAAAAATTGTAAGCATTGTTAAAAGCCCAGTAAAAAGTTTCACAGGCTTTAATTTTACAATCACAATGAGTGATAATAAATCAGTTGAAACAATTAACTTAAAAATCCCGGAATGTCGCTGCCAGCGCCGGGATATCATAGCAGGCGGTGGAATCGGATGAATCCTGTGTGTTGTGATGTTTAATCCCGATAAATCGGAGGCGGCGTGATGGTTGACAGTAGCGCCACCGCAGTGCATTGTTTTAGCGGTGAGCAGGCAAATGAATGTGGTTAACACGTTTGTCGCTTGTTACTCGTATTGATTTCATGGGCTGCCGTGATGTTCTCGAATTACCGGCGCTTAATCATAGTGAGCCCCGGATTTAGTGAATTAAGCGAGAGCACTTTGTATCTTCAGTGTTCATTTTAGGCAGCGGGGTGTGGACAAATTTTATCCTGCTGTTAATGATCCTTTTTAATTTATACTTTAATTATCAGACAATAACATTGGTTTAGCTGCATTTAAAATTTATATCGTTAAAAAAACGTCTGGACAATTTTCTCTTTTTTAATCATTAATAGGTAGGTAATACAATATGTTTGAAATGGCAAAATGATTATTAGTTTTAGTTATAAATTACAAAAGAAAAACACAGGTTTAGGTGTGCGCTGGCACTTTTAAACTGGAAGCTGAATTATTGACAGTTTTACATTGACATGCTTACTTTAGTTTTTATTTATTTATTTATTTCAGTGCACGAGATGTAATACTCGCTTAATGCATGTAAAGTCAATTTGAGAAAAGTGCAAAAAACGTTTTTTGCATTATAGTTTTTAATAACCAATTAATGATGTTAGCGTGCCTTTAGAACATATACGCCTCTAATAGTTTTTAACATATTTTAAAAAAATAGTTAAGATTTTTTAAATAAATGAAGAAAAAAGAATGCATTTAGCGAGTTTTGCACCAAAAAATGTTACATCAATAGTTTGAAACAAATTTTATTCACAAAGAAATTAAACAGTGATTTACATATTACATTAAATTGGTAAATTAATATCGCAAGGTTTTAAACCACTGCAGCCAGCTTCAACATCGTTTACAGAATTTTGGTTTTCCACCATTCGAGGGTTAACAAGATTTTCTTTAAAGAAAACCAAATCAGGATTTTCTTCCCAGGCGTTTCCATAATGTTTTTGAGAAGAGAAATTATTGTCGATTTATCGCCTTTGAGTTTGCAGCCAATAGGAAGTTGAGTAGGATTGATACGTGTCAATTTTATTCCTCTCTTGACAACAGACTTGGCTTCACCGACGTCAACACAATAATTGGGCTCACCTCGTATTAGTGCATTGGTTTTCCCTTTAGTAAGCACAAAGCTTTTAGCCTTATTAAACTGAAAGTGCCATGAGGATGGTGCTTTGGTATTTACTTGTGCTTCATTCTTCCAGTCATACACCTACCAATCTAAACCTAATTTTTTAATTGTCGACTTATTTGCTATAATTTCTTCGTAGTCAGAAGTTTTTGAAATAATGGATTTCTTTTTAACCTCTCTTTCAATTATTCCGAACAACCTATCAGGTGGTATAAAAAAATGTCCTACTACGGGGAATATTATGTTAATGGTCTTTATGTTTTTGGGAGCTTTCGCCATCAACCAAACAGAAAGCATGGTCATCATTATAATATTCTTATTTTGCCCCCCACATCCATCAGCAAATAAACGAATTGTATCGATTTCATTGGGAAAGTTAAAAACTTATTCAGTACATCCCAAACAGCTGAAGCTATTGAATTAGAATTTTTGGGAAAATCAATCTCCGTCCAAACATAAGAATAAACATTTTCTGGAACCAACTGTGCTGCTGATGATCCATGAATTACCGTAAAGTTGTAATAGTTAATTTGTTGACTAAAATAACTAGCTTGTTCCGGAAGCTTCGGCAAAGAAAATTTTTCTGACAATCAAACGAAAAAACCGCTGTATTTTCTAGCGGCTGCTTTAATAAGGCAAAAAATGCCTTTGCTTTAAGTCTATGTATCCGTTGCTCGGTGATAATAATTTGCTTTTCTGAACTAGAAATATTTTTGTTTTTTAACTTTTCCTTCGATCTTAAGCAGGTTGAGCATAAATCAGTTTTTGGGGTGCCAAATCCGATGTTGTAATTAGAATTTATGTATGTCCTAAAAAATGCCAGTTTAACATGTAGTTGGTTATCGCGAACTTTAGATTCGTATATTTTCCATAATTTTGTAAAATTTAGTTCACATGGTAAATAAACACGAGTATTAATTTGACTTCTACAGTAATGGCTCTCTATGCATTGGAGAGATTCAATGAAATGTTTTATTGCTAACTTTTTATCATCGTTTTATTAAGTATGCGATCACCTCCTCTTGTTTCTCGTGGTATATTCCCTTTTAAAACAAAGTTTTTCATGACTCTCTCAATCCGATCTCTACTAAGGGATGTGATTTTTAAGAATGCCATCTTACAAACACGGATTTTTTTAGCAGAAGTAGTTACACTTCTGGCCTTCACAAGTTGCAATTATAAAACTATCTTGTCTACATTTTTCCTTAGAAGCATACAGTTTTCTATAAATATCTTGAATTTCGCTCATTGTTAAAGTGGCACAAAAGTATGGCTTACCCGGCTGACCGTTATGTCCACAGGTCGGGTACTCCGGTAAATGTGTCGGAGTGTGCCTAAAATAACACAGTTTTAAAAAAATATTCTAACAAATTGATATCGTTTTTATTACCTTAATCTTTTAAGATTTTGTCTTTTACTTTCCGTCGTAATTTTCGTTCTACACATGTTCTTTGGAGTAGGTTGTATTGCAGAACTAACACTATCATTGGCTGCAGAAATTTCACTGTCTATTTGCATTTTAATAATTTTAAAAACGGGAAACTTCAAGTTAAACAAACAATTCAGAATACCGCTAAAACGCGACTGAGTCAAACGGTCAAACCACACCAGGAAACAAACAAAATGCATGATGCCCTTCCCTAACCACGTGAGTAAAATCCGATGCTGTGATTGAACGCCGTACAAATAGAGAGTTTTGCATCGCACGCATCAATGCATAAAGCGAGTTTTGCATCAAGTCATGATTTTTGGGACGGATTTTCGTGTGTTAAAAAGCTAGTTTTGCTCCAAATACTTGTGTAAAATAATAATTAAATATTGTACGAACAAGATGGCGTGCTTAACTACTTTTTTCAATTTTTGTCGATTAGCGAGTTTTGCATCTCGTGCACTCATTTAATGTCGTCCGAAGCACTGAGGTTATAGACGACAACAATGGAAAATACATAATCAAACACAGAAAGATTATATTATTAATTACATACTAACATGAAAGAAGATTGATATATTTAATTTGTGATACAAACTAGATTTTAATTTAAATATCTTTTATGCCTATAGCTGTTAAAAAATTTATAATGTTGTTTAGATGATTATTGTCTCTAAGAAGCTCACCTATGGCACTGGAAGGTTGAGTTTACTTCTCGTTTTCTGGAAAATTTGACATTCGGCTAAAATATGTTTGTTCGTTGTACTGTTCGTTTGACACTGGTTGCAGTATGGGGGGTTGTCTCTTGTGATTCGGTAAAGATGTGTATGGCGGGTGTTACCAAGTCGGAGTCAAGTAAAGATGACTTGTTTTTTTTTTTATTAACATAAAGGCTTTTTTCTAGGCTTGTTTTTTTAAAGCATTGTCTTTAATTTGACTTAGTTTTTCGGAACACTGCGACTCTTTGTTTTGTCATGCACAAGTAACTATGGTTTTTAAGCACAATTTAATATCACTTGCCACTATTTTATTTAGTTGAACTTGACCATTACTTGTCGCTGCTTCGTGAGCTAGATGGTCCACAACCTCGTTACCGTGTACTACAATATGAGATGGAACCCAGATTAATAACCTGTTTTTCTTTTCCTTTGCAGCATTTTGAAGTTCTTTGTAAATGTCTTTGTGAATAGGATTGCTGGTGTATATGTTTTGGATGTCACAAAGGGTATTCATTAAGTCACTTATAATTGTGTAATTTTTCTGGTTCGTTTTGTTGACGAATTTTAGAGCTTCAAGATTTGCATATAGTTCTGAATTGGAGATAGTCCAGTTGTTATAAAACTTAAATTTATCCTTATGAATATTACAGAAAACAGGTCCCCCCACTCCGTCCGTTTTGAACATTGGATCTGGTAGAATTTACTTCCTTGATGCTGGGGATGGACAGAAAAACATTACTGATTTTTTGTTATTGTCAAGGATCAAATCCCAGAAGCTCTAGCGTTGCCTTCATCTGAAATATTTGTTACTTTATTGGCAGGCGAACGAATTGCAAATTTTGCCTTGAAATTACCGTTAACATAGAAATTAATGGAACACCGCATTGCAACATCGCCAATAATAGAGCAATATTACAAACGTATATAAATTAATCGTTTAAGATGAATGTACATTGGCACACAAGAGGTCATTACAGGGAGTGGGCAGCATTTTTGGTGACACCATAATTCTGTTTTCAGAATGTTTCTTATTTAATAATTATTCACCAAATAACTGTGGCGATGATGTATGAATGACAAATTTTCTTGTATCTTCTTTGGGATCCCAAAATTAACATTCTCAGCAAAATTAAGCATATTCATCTCGTTTTTAGAAACCAAACTTCTGACGACTGGACTAGAACTTTATTTATAAACAAATATTAGGTATTGTAGTTAACAAAAATAGCAGTATTTGTATATTTTAAATCATTTACTAAATTTTAATTTTGTTTCAGGAAAAGATCATCAATCAGACGACGAGGAAGACCTTCAGAGCGATATTAGCGATGATAACAAAGACCCTTCTAAAAAGAAGAAAAGCGATTCAAAATCCCAGAATTCCGGTAAACCTAGAAGAGCCCGAACGGCATTTACGTACGAACAATTAGTGGCGTTGGAAAACAAATTCAAAACAACGAGGTACCTCAGTGTATGTGAACGGTTAAATTTAGCTATTAGCTTAAGTCTAACGGAGACGCAAGTTAAAATTTGGTTCCAAAATCGGAGAACGAAGTGGAAAAAGCAAAATCCAGGGATGGACGTTAATTCTCCCACTGTGCCACCTCCTAGTGTTGGGTCCAGTGGATCCTTCCCGGGTTTTCATCATACGCATAATGGTTTGCTTTATGGACACCATGTGCCATACGGGGGTGTTTACCCTTTGCAAACAACTAGTTCTGGGGGTTATACTCCGTATTTTCATTTAGCTAATCACGGGCATAATTTGGGATCTTGAACTTGACGTTTATCTTAATTCTAGACAAAAAAGTGTTAGTGATTTGAGGTAATTAAATAATATCTATATTTAGAAGGTTACAATATTTCTTCACTATAATTGATTAAAATGTACAAATTCATATAACTTACTCAATTTACCAGACTGTAAAGCAATAATAATTGTAATTAATACTAAAATAAACACACCATTGACATTTTTAAATTCGTCTCTTAATTTGTTACGTCTGAAACAATACAAAACTAATTTGATTACTGAAATAAACACCCAGAAATATTCATCAACATGGGTTCATCAAAGAAGTTGCTAATATGATATTACCTCAACGTCCTTTTTCATTTATACTTTGTTATTTGTTTCATTTCTTTCTTGTACTTAGGTAACTTTTCCTTCAGAAGACTATTTTTAATGCCAAAAGACGTTCTTCGATTCCGAGGTTGTAGAGCCATAAGGGAAAATGCACTCCAGAATTGTGTATCGGTGGAAATAAATTTAACTGTCAGAATACTTGCTTGCCATTTAAATGTTGTTTTCAATATATTCTCTTTCCATTAGTGAATAATAAAACAAATATGTAGATATTTGAATGTTTTAGTTAGTTTTACCATTTCACTTCTTCTTTTGGCATCATAACCCTGGATGGGTATTTGCCTGTCTGGCTATGTTCTTCCATTCCGATCTCTCTTGTGCCCTTCTTCTCCATTGTCTTATGTTCATTGTTTACAGGTCGTCTTCCACGTCATCCAACCATCTCGTTCTGGGCCTTCCTTTTTTTCGCCTTCCTATGGGTTGCCATTGTAACATTTTCTTTGTTGTTTTTGCATCGTTTTGTCTCTGCACATATCCCAGCCATGACAGTCTTTGACTTTTCACAAATCTTTTACTCTTTTAATCTTTTCACTCCCTAGTCTAAATTTTGTCAGAATATATTCCTATATTGTCATGTCATGTATTCGGCCGTCTTGTTGATTAAAATTGGACTATATTTTCTTTTATAGATTTTGGAGCATGTAACTTGCATTGCCTTTATCAGCTGTAATCAAAACCTGTGTGTAGACTCTCATTCCAAATGGCATACCTATGCCCTCATATTTTCTTTTCCATATTTTTTGGAACTTTTCTAGTAATATTAAAAAAAAGTGGTAAGGATAAGGCTTAGCCTAATTAGTTCTTAGTTCGTTTGATACAGCAAACCTTCTCTTGCACTGTTTATCTTGTTAGATTAAAGAATCCAGTTTCCACTATATCTTGTGTTGCCTGGTATATTTTTCGGAGTCTGGTGTCAAAATATGAATAATATATATTGCGTTCTTCTTATCTTCTTCTTCTTCTAGTTCCATAACCGTTATCCATCGTTGGATATCATGTTAGCTACCATATTCGCTATCGTGACTATATTGAGCTCTAAATTACGATGTAGTTGATTTTCCATACCATTGCCTTAGATTTTTCAGGCCTTTTAGAACCTAATGATGTTCTTCTTCTACCAGGACCACGATTACCTTGGATCTTTCCCTGGGTGATCAGATGTAGAAGATCATATTTTTCAGGGTGTCTCATAATGTGACCGAAGTATTCCAGCTTGCGTTTCTTTATTATATTGACTAGTCGTGTTGTTTGGTTCAGCCGTCTAAGGACCTCCTTATTTCTAACTCTGTCGACCCAATTTATTTTCAGTAGTCGTCTGTATACCCACATCTTAAAGGCTGTCAAGCGTATAAGCATAGCCTTAGTTAGAGTCCACGCTTTCACTCCATACAGCAGGACAGGAAAGACGTAGCAAGATATCATTCGAACTCTAAGGTCATTGCTAAGATCGTGACTGCAAAGTACGTTTCTAATTTTTACAAAGGCAGCTTGGGCTTGTTCTATTCGGCTTTTAATTTCAGCGGTTGGATCCCAGCTCTTATTGATATTACTGCCGAGATACACAAGTATCTCTACTCTGTCCAGTGTGACATCTCCGACTTTTATACCGTCATCCTGTATATAATTTTGTTTGCGAACTATCATATATTTAGTTTTCCATACTGAGTTTTAATCCATACTGATCACATGTCTGTTTTATTTTGTTCATTAGATTTTGAAGGTCTTCTCCGCAATTAGCAAGCAGTCTTCTTATCCCAGTTTATAATAACTTGTATAAACAATTGTTATAAAAAAATTAATAATAATATAAAAGAGATAAAAAATAATTTTAACATAAAGTTTTGTTAGTTACTGTTAAACTGGGAATAAGCCACAATTAAAGATAAAAATACGTTTATTGACGTTTCAATTTCCACTTCGGAAATCGTTCTCAAAATACAATTGTTTGTATTTTGAGAACGATTTCCGAAGTGGAAGTTGAAACGTCAATAAACGTATTTTTATCTTTAATTGTGGCTTATTCCCAGTTTAACAGTAACTAATTTACAATGCCACAAGAAAATAGCTTCAGAACAATATAAAGTTTTGTTCTTTGAAAAAACAAAAAAAAGCTTTTACTTAATTTTACTACAGCAACCACGAACACGTAAAAAAAACTGGTGGACCCATCAGTAGATAAAAAGCCACGGTGAACTAGTTGGCCAATAAACTATTATATTTTTTATATTTTTCCTTTTGTATTCTTTGATGTTACTGAATTATGGCCAGAATAAATGCCACAGCCTGATTACCTCATTTCTAAATCTTTAATTAATCATAACATATTCTATTTGGCTCCCAATTAGTTTTCTTTCAGTGACTTGGAAAGGACTTACGGGTCCCATAAGCGTTCATTAATATTTTCGTATAAAATCATACTACTTTATCGACGTTTTCAACCCAAAGTTTTGCGTTAAAGTTTCTCACGATGGTGTTTTCTTTTTATTTTTTGAATTTAGTAGCCATTCAATTCTCGTTCCAACACTATAGGATAAGCCAAGTCTTCAGTGGATTACCTTCTCTCTCGGAATTTTCTGTAATCTTTACACAAAATGTATAAAACTAATTGTATTCCCTCTGTATTTTTAAACAGATTGCACCAAATACAGATATGTTTGATATTGACCCATATACTTATTCAGTGTGTCGATTTGAAAAGGTACCACCCTCTATAATTTGATCCCTATAGAAAATATGCAAAAATACATCAAATTTGTTTAAAAGGAGGATATTTTGTAAAATAGTTTTAACTAAATTACATCAACTCTGTAGCGAGGGAGCACACAACCCCCCAAAATTTTTAATAGAAAGGGAGGTTGGGTAATACTTCATTTTAAAGGTCGTTAAATTATTTCTTCTCGGTACTTTGAAAAAATGAAGTAACCCGTAAAGGTATTAAGTATCGAATTCAGAATACGTGATCTGGGATTGCAACAAACAAAATAGAGAATCGCCGTATTTTAGATAAAGCAGTACATTAAGAAATTTTAGGCATCTTTACTGCAGAACCCTCCACATCACTTCATAATGTGGCCCGCAAGTAGCAATGTCTCACGAAACTCTACGAAAACCACTAGTTAGAAGTAATGGATTTTGAAAAGAGCTATGACCTTGAAAATAACAGGTAAACTGGTGTACTGAATCGGCATGACCCCTGGCTCTTGTTAAAATCCATTACCTTTACATAAACACATTGTTGATGATAAACATGTTAACATGAAAAATTGTCGCTAGTAGAATGATGAATATCATTCAGTATCACGTTAAACTAAACGTTTGGGCTGGTATTTTTGGGAATACTATTCTTGGAACTTTATACATTGAGGAAAATCTAACTAATATACTCTAATTAAATCTGCTTAAAAAAATAATAGACCCGTTAATAACAACTACTTTGGAAAATCAAATTGATGCGGTTGGTAGCATGATTTTGTAAGAAAATCTGATACACTTTTAATAAGATGGAGCCCCACCACATTAGTTTCTTCCAGTTAGACAGTGGTTAAATGATAGATTTCCTGGCAGATGGATTGGTCGAAGAGGAGTAATACAATGGCCACCACGATCACCCGAGCTAGTACCTCTAGATTTCTTTTCATAGCGATATCCAAAGTTAATTGTCTATAAAACACAACCTTGAGATTTGACAGATTTAAAGGTAAGAACAACAGCTGCGTGTACTTCACCGGGAACTTCAGTCTGAAGTTTTTTTAAATGTTAGAGATGAGTTTAAGAGCAGGCTTTATCACTGTTTAGACAACAAATAATGGACAACATTTACCTAATTTGCTTTTATTTTTTAACATTTACTTTTTGTGTAGGAAGTTACTTTTCATTGAATTTTTATGTTTTATTGCAAGACACTTTATAATTAAATATTCTACAGTTTACTTGATCGTTCCAAAATTACCGAGAAGAAATATAACGTGTGTGATATTTTTGAAATGGTTTTTAAACGGTATCATTAAAATAAGGTATCGCTCAACCCCCCTTTTGGAGGTTGTGTGATTAATTTGAAAACTGGTCTACAAAATGTCCCTCACAAATAAATTTGACGTGATTTTGCATATTGTTCTATAGGGGCCTATGGGGGTTCTATGGGGACCAAATTATAGAGGGTAGTACCTTTTCAAATCGACACACTGTATGTATATACTTCACGCTACAAATATTTTTCATTTTCCTCTATTTTGAAGTTATTTTTAACTATTTACGTCACAAATTATATAAATATAAAATTTCATATAAATTTATATAAAATTTTTAAATTAATAATTTAAAAATATTATATGGGAGATTTTACGAGAAAGAAAATAACTTGGGATGTACCTATTTTAGAATTTGATGATAAAAATGCCGATTATTTGGTTCTTTGGCTTATTGATAATAATTATAAAATGGAATAAAAACCTGCTTAATTTCAATAATATTTCTACACAAGTAACATAACAACAAATATTTCTTTTTAACATTATTTTAAATAAAAAACATTGTTTAATTACCTCATATCACATATACCTAAACGTGTATGTATTTGTGCCATAAGACTGTAAATATCAAGGTGATGCGTGACAAAATACAATAATTTTTATTTCAGTTTAAAAAAGATACTATGCATTTAATTACTTTGTTTAGGATAATGAAATTGCTTAAAAATTTTGACAAATAGGAGAAAGGCATCCAGAATTTGATATAGCAATGTGTATTGCAGTTAACCCAGTGCAAAGAAATTCTGTTTTCGTGGTTAGATAGATCTTCACTATTTTGTATGACTACTGTATGCATTGAAAATACAATTTGACAAGTAATTTATATTGTAATTATTAATGTATCAGCGAAAAAAATTGCCTATCACGCAAAATCTAAAAAACAAACATTGAATTAAAGAACATAAACCTTAGAAATTCAGTATGTACCATTAAAAGAATCAGCTACCAAAATAGGTTTAATAATAAACACCAACAAAACAAAGTCTATGAAAATAAGCACGCAACCACAAATCCTACGACCATTTGTCATCGAAGCAGTGAACGAATTTACAGAATTATACAGACACACTTTAAAAGTTTCCCGCGAAAAAAACAATGGGCGAGATTGGCATATATGTTCAACATAATATGGAAGATGAATGGTCAGAGAAGTGATACGAATCAATCCTTATCCCTATGCACTAAAAAGATCACTAACCGTATCTAGTAATTACGATTTTAGGTGATGAGACCTTACAAATGGACACTCGCAAAGAAAATGATGATTTGGAGAAAACTGATACCTACTTCTCTATTTCTCAAAAAATTTGAACGTTAAAGAAGTAGAAGTAGAAAATTTTTTCCAAATACGAAATACGGTACAACTTTTCCTAGTGAAAGAAGATCATGAAGCCTTAGTTATGGCGACCATTAACGTCAAATAAATAAATCATCCTTTTCTATCGTATATGTAAAGCAGATCAAATAAAGAAAAGCGAAAGATCTTATTTCCGTGTTTTTCGTTCAATGACCGTACGTAACTTACGTTAATTATATACCAAAGTTTTTAATGTTTTTTATTAAAGACGTGATAAGACACTGTTGTTTTTTTGTCTTCATCTTTTAATGGTAAATTACAACTTTTACGTTTGCACGTCTTCACTTTGATAGGTATATAAAGTTTAATAGTGGTTTTTCAAAAGTATTGTATTTTGTCACGTTACAAGAAAACAGAAAATACTAGTAAACAAGATTTCATGTAATTTTATATAGCTATACCTGCTACATGTAGGATTCTGTGCAAAAATAGTGTAAAATAATTATTATAATGTAGAATAGAGTATTTATTAATTATTGTAAATTATATGGACTTTGTAAATATACCACGCCTTCATAAACCACATTTGTAGTTTTATTTCAAAAATACGATTTAAGTCCGGGTCACACAAATCACACAACTTTCCGATCCTATCCCGATCATACATAGTTCGGCAACTTGGTACCTTTATGTATACATAGAATGGTGGATAGTTGAAAACTAATCTATCTTATGTAAATTAGATGGCGTTACACATTCGAATAGTTTTTAAATATCCACACTTCCATGATACAGAAAGGTACCCAGTAGCCGAACTATGTATGATACGGGTCAGATCAGAGGCCTGTATGATAGGGGCGTCCCGGTTTTATACGTAGTCACGACGAACCCTACAGTTTGGGGATTATTATATCCAATAAAATGAGACTATTTAGCAATACCCTACACCTAGTCCAGGTCCAGATATACGCTCCTACAACAGCTGCACAAGAAGAAGACATCAACAGTTTCTACAGTCGTCTAGAAGAAACTGTTAGCGCTATTCCTAATCGTGAACTAATCATAACTTTAGGAGACGCCAAAGTAGTGTCATCTAATAAAAATATTGAAGGAGTGCTGGGCAAAGATGGACTAGAACAGGGAAATGAGAATGGCGACTGTCTAATGAAGTTATGTGAAGAACAACATTTTACAATTACAAGATTAATTACAAGATTGTGGAAGTGATCATCGACTCCTTAAAATAAGGCCCCTAAGAAAAGTTATGTCTCTAAATCCATCAAAAATTAATGACTTTAAAAAAACTAGAAGAAGCTCTTTCTTTGACCAAGTAGATAGTGACCCTGAGAGCACTTGGATCTATCTCAAAGATAATCGAGGCTGCTAAAGACTGTGAGGCAGCGGTTTTCACGGTTCGTAAGCTGTGAATATCCAATAATACGTAGAATGTGATTCAATGCAGAAAAAAACATAAAACTAAATACGGAATACACAATAAATACAGAGCGTTATCGAAAGAAATCAGTGCCGTAAAGACAAAGCTGATTACATCTCTCAAATATGCAGAGAGATGGTTATTGAAATACACCGAGGGATTTATTTCAGAAGATCAAACTCTAAACCAGAGAATTAAAATCTCAAACTGTAAAGCAGAAGTTCGGAGACGTATTGGTATAGAAAAATGCGATCCTCAGTAATGGGGAAACGATAAGAGAGATATATTTTTAATGGCTTAAACATTTCATCCTTTAGCCAGATACTCAAATTCATCACAGATTAGCATAAATGCACTCGTAGCTAGTATCAACTCATTACTTGAATAAAACCAGGATTTTAAAATAGACCTGCAGAGATTTGCTAACTGATCTCTGGCCTACCTGCATCTCTTCGCAGGTCAAAAACCATGAAATGAAAGCTAGCAACTCACTAGGTTTGCTTATCCGAAAGAACAATCCAAATCTAGATAAATTCAATGCAGATGTTGGCTGATATTTGGGAATTCCTTTAAATGCTATTGGTACCTACTTTCAACTACCTATGCGAAAAGAAAAATTTCTTTTCATTTGACGTTATTCCTTCAACATGAATAGTAAACTGATTAATGATTACGTACTGAGCTTATGCAGACGAAAAATAAAATAATACTATATAAAAATAAATAAATAAGGGAGTATTCCTGGCATAATTTTCATTAAAAAGTTCACTATTGAAAATTTATGCAGCGGCTTATAGCAAAAAAATGTTGTTGATGAGTTTACCTATCCAAGGTGATTAGTTTACGGGTCTCCAATTGATGCCGATGATATTTGATGTTTGCTATATCCCAAATCGAATAATTTTATGGAGGGCTACAAAGTGATGAGTCAATCAGAAACGGCGAAACTTAGAGAAATAAAAAAAACTTGGAGAAAGAAAGATAGAGAAAAGGAAAAAAACTAGGTCACTAACTTTTCATCCAAGTGCTGGTTAGGACGTTTCTTAAAATAGACTAACCACGACGGGGACACGAACGAAGGAATATTTTAAATCATTAAGTAATACTATTTATTTTGTACTTCAACAGATTCTGTTAAAAAGAAATCTGTTAAAAAAACTAAAAACAACGCAAAGGATAATAGACGGAACATGCTTGGAATATCACTGACAGGCAGGGCACTAGAAACACTGAGATCAGATATAGAACGAAAATCATGAATATCGTGGAAGAAATTAAAAAAATGAAATGGTACTGGGCCGGTCACATATCAGATGATAACAGGTGTACACAGAGAATCCTCGAAGAAAGATTAAGGAGGATGACAGGAAGTATGGAAAGACCTTAAAAGAGATGTGTAGATGACCTTAGAGTAGTGGCAGGAAAATAGTAGATTGGATAGGCGTACACTAAAATACTAAAGAATATTATAAAATTAAAATTAGTATCTATTAATTTAAAAATAAAACTATACACAATATTTATGAGACCCATAGTAACGTATGCATCAGAAACACGTGTTGGAACACGTAGAAAGGATGGATAATAAGAGGAATACAAAAACGGTACTTAAAAAAAATTAAACAGAAAGAGATCGATATAAAAGCCCAGAAAGAGATGCGTTGATGGTGTTAACCAGGATTTAAAAAAACTAGAAATATAAGAATAGGAAAATCAAGCAAAGGAAAATAAAACCATTGTTAACATTGTTAGTCAAAGAAGCAAAATATACATGACACTGAAATGATCTCCTCAAAGAAGACAAACTGAAAATAACGAGTTTAGATATAAGACGTTGGAGTTTTTGAGGAGTTAAGCATGTCGCCGGCCTCCACACCATGTAAAAAGTATTTTATAGTATTTTACTGTAAGAACCTAATCCAAAAGATTGAATATCTCCTCATGTTTCTTATCGTTACTTCCCAAGTTGTTAGAACCTTTTTACCTTCCAAGAAATACAAACAGGCTGTCATTTTTAAGTGAAGGTTATCCCACCTTTTTTTTTGGGAAATGTGTGAAATTTTGAGAGGGAGGTCATTACTTCTGGCAGGGTGCTCTTTGAGTACAAACGTTAGTTTATCTTACCGTCTTTATGTTATCTTACCGTCTCGGTGAATTTTTTCTTTAAGTGTGTATACACTTAAGTGTATATACTTATTTAAGTGTATACACTTAAATATTTGAGTTTCTTAATCTAATATATTAGATTAAATATGGTTATAAAGTAGCAATATTGTAATTAACTTCAGAGCTTGATACAAGTATAGTATGCAGAAGCAATGAAATAGTGCAGAAGTCATCGAGAATTACTGTAAGTTATCGTAATCATATTACGTTCAATTATCTGGGCAAACAATATGGTATGTAATAATATTGCATTCAATTATCTGTGCGAATCTGCGTCGACTATGTCTTTACCTGTAGTTAACATTAAACTAGCATTTAATTAAAAGAACATTTAATATTTCCATACGAACTTTCAATCAGCTATAAAGAACATCTAATAAATAATAATTAGGAACATTTAATTCTAAGTAAAAACAGTTAATCATTAAACAACAGTGCGAGACAGACAATTAACTTAAAACCAAGTGCGGGTTGATTTAATTTTTATAATTCAGAATTCTAGTAATCTTTTGGTATTCTTGTGAAGTTATTTCTCAATCATAATACTGTTTATTATTATATGTATACCAACATGTAACGATGAGTCCAAGCCATCACCGTTAAACCAGCGTGCGCGCGAACCAACCCATGAAGTAGGAGTGTATCGACAGTAGAAAGGGCAAAACTAATTACCAAGCTCCGCTATATAAACCGCAACATTTCCTCGTAGAGGAGAATCGACAGGTGTTAACTGAAGGTTCTCTTCTTCCCTACCCCGGCTTGTTGACGTGTTGAGTTCACAAGTTGTTCCGTTCCATACCGCCGTTACCCGAAGAGCGTGTTGAGCTCTTCATTACCCGTACTCCGAAGCAGTCGTGTTGAGACTGTCGAGGAGTGTCCTATTAACCCGAATCACTTAAGGGACGTGTTGAGTTCCTTTCCTTTCTTTGTACCTATCGTCTGCTGTTATTAAATCGATACAACGTTCACGTAAAATTTCAAAAACACACTCGCTTGCCGATAAGACTAATTTCATACGACAAGGTCAAACTTAATTTGAATAAATAGGCCAGGTACTGAGAAGACTAAACCAAATTGTAAATATGTACATAAGATTTTTGTCAATTTAATTTAAGGAAGACAATAAAGTTTTATTTTTATTTTGAACTCTGTCTCTGACTATCCAAAAGCTACCCGGATAGTGACTCCTACGAGAGGACATCACAAACATTTAATAATTGATGGTGCGTTTCTTTTACTTGTGTTTACATTCAGATTTAAAATCATCAGATTGATCCAAATTTAATCATGTTATTGAATATATTGTTTTGTTTTATCAATGAATTTCATTTCTCTATTCCTAAGAAGTTTCCTGATATAACAATATCTCTGAACATTTGTTTATTATATTAAATTATTATTTTACCTTGGACCAGAAGAAAGATCAGGCTGATTAAGTTTCGTAGGTAAGTATATTTAGTAAGTAAGTAAATAATATTTATTATTTGTTTATGTAGTGTGTGGACTAAATTTATTTAATAATTAACTCTTGATATCTTTCCTTGGATTTGGTCTTAGAACCTAAATATCTTTTCTTATCTCTTTTCGTTTCTAGGGTTTCTTAATGTCCCCTTTGACCCTAGAAATTTAAGTGGCGCTCTTTTTCTATCTTATCTTTTCTTTTGGTAATTCTACCCATCTATATTTTTGTTTATTTCTGTATCTTTTCTAATATATCTTATTCTGTCCTATTTTTACTTATTTCGACCATTGAGCCCATTCCCGGTTTCAAAAGCTAGTTTCGAACCCACGATTCGCTCTCCACCAACCATCTGGTTGCTGTCCGCAGTGTCTCCATTGGTGACCTTTCTAGCACCACCCAAAAAAGGTTTCTGAGCTTACAATGGTAGAAATAACAGTGATGAAAACACTTAGAAAAATTGATGGTAAGACACTATGGGACAGAGGTAAAAGTACAGATATACGACGTAAATGCAAGGTG